GCAACATAAATTTTGTGAAGAGCCTATTTAAAGCTATCTTTGGTAAACAACCTCCTCAGCACTGCCGGGAAATACCTGACTTAAAACCAGGAAGTATTTCAGCATGTAGCTGTTGGAGCTGAAGGAATAACATCCAGACTCTAGCTGGCAAATGGTCAATTCAAACACTACTACCACTACTGCCACACACACACACACACACACAGACACAGGAACACCGATGATCATCTAGCTACGTGGAACATCTGATATCCAGTATTTCCCTGTACCCTCTCTCCATCCCTCCTCCCTCCATTTTGTGAAGGCTGAGTGGATGGAGTGAAGTGGCGTCTCCATCTCTAAAGGGTCTCATGGGGGCCCACCCATGATCCTTCTCACTCTCTCACTCTTTGAAAAATGAGGACACACAGCAATAAAACAAGGCTCTCTCTTTCTCTCACTCACACACCAATACACACGTCCCTCTGCGCTAACTGTGAGGTCCTGTTGTGCCTGTATGTACTTATGTTGCTATGGTGGTAATCAATATGTCTGCACCAGTGTCTCCAAAAACAAATTCCTGGTCAATGATGGTACATTACAAACCAATTTATAGTTATTATTATCCACACACACACACACACACACACACAGACACACACAGAGTACACACAAATATCTTCTCTCTAGCCAAGCTCACATGCACGCACACAAACACACACCCCTCCCCCTCTCGCTAAAGCTCACATGCGCACACACACATTGGAAAGCTCACTCGAGCGCACACACACTCTCTCTCTCTCTCTCCAGTGCTCCGTCTGCTGTTGGTATGAGGGATGACTCTTCCTCCTGGCCTGAGTATATTAGCTCCCCGGCCTCACTCTTTCCTGACAGTTCCGACCTTGTTAGAACTGGAGAGTGAGACATCCACTCTTACAGTGGTAAAAAGCTGCAAGGGCAGCTGTGTGACTTTTTCTTACCTTTTAGTTTTACCCTTGAAGATGGATGTACATAAACACATCATCATCAGGGGATGATCATTAAGAAAAGAGCTGCTAGCGCCAAAACAGCTCACTTCAAAACTCCATGTGCGTCTATTTTTATCCCAAAGTACTACAGCTGGGGTTTTGAGATTCTTTCCTAAACTTCTTTTGTAGAGAACTTTCTCTTAATGCCCCATAATATCTTGGCAAATAAGTGGCACCACCCACCTCACAGACACACCTTGATTTTTACACTTCTTATAAAAACCAATTACCATACTCTATCATGCTCCATGGCACCATTAAATGAACTCATTAAATACCTTTAGGATTACAAATCAAAGTAATTGCCAATTAGGATTTACCTAATTGTGTAAAACTTCAGGGTTTTGATGTTTTCTCACTTAGTCTGTGGCACTGCACCAGGCCATATCAGGCTGTGTACTTGTTCATCAGCTGAGCCATTCTGATGATTGATGGGGACAAGCAGAACCAGCCTGGATCAGATTCTGATATACTCACCACAGTAAATACTACAGCAGAAGCAGAGAGGGACAGGTAGCCCGGCAGTAACTAAAAAAGGTAAACTTATGTCTCAGTGTCTCCGAATGATGTCATCAGCAAAGATATAAGAGTAACCTTGATTTCAAAGTGAGAGAATTACACGTTTTTTCTTTTTGTTCGAGTGATACTCTGCAAAAATAATCTATCTTAGATAAAAAAGGAGTCTACAGCCATGCTAGCCGCTCTGTGAGGCTGCCGTGCTATGAGGTAAATGCTAATGTCAGCGTGCAAACATGCTCACAATGACAGCACGGTACTAATGCGTTAAGAAGAAGCTCACATGTAAAGAATGGAGCTTGTTCATCGGTACCCTGTTTGTGCCTGCGTATTGGTTAGTTTTAGGACAATGATCATGGTTTGGGCTGAAACAAGTACCAGCCAGGGTTGGTAAAGGCAGAACCAAAGGGCAAACATAGTATAAAGAGCAAACAAGTTCACATAAGGAGGTGGTTGGGGTGGAAGGATTATCACACAGGAGACTGCAGTTCGATTCCTGTGTAAAATATTGTTTTAAAATGAATTATTTCTCTTTTCCGCCATTTGACTATTCCACGATTGTCACGGGAAACAGAAATACGGATCTACCATGTGTAGATAATAACATTGTAACATCTTTTGCATATAATTAGAGTTTTTTTTGTGGCCCTGGCACACAGCCACAACCATAAAAGGCTTGAAAATCATGATGTTGCACAAATAATGGTTACTATTTTCTCAGTTTAGCATGTTAGCATGCTCAGATTTAATAATTAGAAAAAGTAATATAATATAATTACTATTATAAATAATATAATCAGAAAACTAGCTATGCATGTTCATAGCTTAGTTGATTGAATATTATAATTATATATATAATAATATTATATATATAACGATCAGCTGACGTACATACTGTTAAAAGTTTGTAGTTTACTCCTGATAGACAACATCTGCTTAATTTTGTGTAAAGATTTCTAAACTTTACTTTCTATCACATGATGAAAATTATTAGGGGCTCACAAACAGCAGAAAAAGATACACCCATGAAAAACTTGCATAAAATTGCATTAAAAAACAATTCCATAAATAAATAACAGCCTTTTTGGCCTTGCTTAAAATGGATATTGTAGTTGGAATGAAAAAGCTTTTGTAATGATTGTAATTTTCAAAATTATCAAAACAGGACCAAAATAATTTCGGTGCGCTAAGTGCAGTGTTTGCAGTGTGTTTCTATGTTAAATGTCTGGTTACTTTACAGCGTGATGTATCTAAACACCCTAAGGCTTAGCCATGGCAACACCAACCTCTCAGAAACAGTGTGGCCATTTAAATAGAACAGTAAATCAAATTTTGCCACAGGGAATAGAAGTCCATTTTCTTAGCCTCTATCACAATATATAGAGCATTTGTACAATATATGGACATGCCTGTGGGTTCCTCTAAATTTAGGGAATGAGAAGTGATAGAGGTCTATCTTATGTGAACTCGTGGCACCTAATTGCTACCTCTGCACCGTGAGTCATAAAGAGTGCACAGCGGATCCAACCCTGCTACTTTATATAACAATAACACTGCAGAACAAACTCAGAGTGAACTATTGTCGGAAGTGCGAAGCCTTATTCCCTGCCTCTATTTAGCTCATGTTCAGGAGTTAACACACACACACAACCTAAAATATTCAGGAAGTACCACTCATGTGTTTGTCCTAGTTGCATTTAAAAGGATTTGGTCATGCTCAGATTCCTTTTACGCTTCTCATGTGCAGTTATTTCCATGTAGACTAAGGCCCTCTTTTGGGGTTGGTTGAGTGAAGCTACATGCAGAAGGTTTTCTGGTAGAACAAAAAGTACACCACCCGTGTTATTTGTAGGCAGACTTGTGCTGCTGGGAGTTGACTGTGAACTTAGGCAGTGCTTCAGAATACTTAAATAGTCCTTTGCCATGCATTGCCCCTTGGGCTGATAAGTTTCATCATGGGAAGGAGTTAGGTCAATTGAGCTTAAAATGCACTTTCAAAGAGTGTTTGGCTATGATTCTATGACATTTGGTGGATTTAGCAAAATATTTGCAATTGTTCTGTTAAAATGTTTTCAATAAAATGATTATTTTTAATAGTCATAGAAATAGAATATACACACAACTACTGACATAAATTATAGATAAAACAAGAGACCTTACCATTCTTCTTTTTACTGTTACCATACATTCTTTGACAAAATGATATTGCATGGATGTTGTATTCTTTATTGACTTGCTCTTTTTCATTTCTATAGTCTTAAAATGTAAAATGTTCTCTTTAAATCTACTCACTGTGGTTCTGAATCACAGCCAGCCAGAGTCTTTTGAAAATAGCACACTCAGCCACCCGGTCTTTGGTGTCCTCCAATGCTGCTATAACATGGCAGCGGTAATAGAAAACCATAAAAGGCCTGTACGTGATGACAGAGTAATAACACTAGATTTAAACTGTGGCAGAGGAGGCAGCCTTTCCCAGCCGTAATGACTAATACAAATGCATGTCTAGAAGTCAGTAGATTGAGGTCAATAATCATTGTTTATTACATTCATTATATGAAAACAGCAAATGTTAATAAAATTGATTATTTTGCTTTTGAGTGCAGTTGAGAAAATAGCCCCAATAGAACTGTAAAGTTTCCTGCTTTGGTTTAGCATAAATGAATCCTATAAAATCCCCAGATTACATTCAACAAACTCAGATATTGACTGTATACTGTAATTTCATACAGTGTGCTATATGATGGGGAACATGGCAGAGAGAGAGATGGAGGAGGTGAGGGAGACTGGCTACACAGAGGCAAATAAAATGACTGTGTGGGATTCATTTCAATAGAACTAATATCAGCAGTCATACCGGTAGGCACATGCACGTGTACATGCACGTGTACATGCACAAAACACACACACACACACACACCCACACACATACACACACACATACACACACACACACAGACACAGACTAATTCAAAGCCATTTCTAGAGCTGAGCAGTTGCCTGCAGTGTTAAGGAGTGGCGTGACTGCGATGGGACCAGCCTCCTACAAATGGCTTGGAATGCTAATACGCTTGCAAATGGGTCAGGGAGAGCTAAATGAGAGCTATCTAGGCCTGGCTAATTATGAAGGAACCAAGGCTCCGCCAATCAGGTTCGAAGGCCAGCAAGGCCAGTGAACTGAGTGGTTGTAGCCAGGTTGGTTGCTAATTAGCTTGTACTAGTACAGCAGATTCATGCAAGTGGGTCAGTGTAGGATGACTAATGGATGGATGGCATCCCAAGCACTTTTTAAGTCAATAGTAAGGAAGGA